ACAGTGTTGTATAGAGAATTGAAAGAAACACATTTTCCTTATCACGAAGTACTGAAAATGATACTTTCAACATCGCACTGTGTATTGAATATGGAGTCATGATATATCAAATGTATTACTTCATCTAAGATTCAATTGAATAAAAACTGTCCATATCCTCAGAGTTCGATCAGTCTTCTATAACTAACCTACCTTATTGATATCCAGGCATAGAAAAAAATTATTTAAATCGATGGATGTAGCCAGTACTACGTAGTAGATAATGATGAAAAATGAGAAATAGAACTTTATGAAAGTGGTAAAAAACATAGAAAGTATAACGTCTCTTTTTTTTAAAAAATCTATCTATATTTGAGAAGTATAGCAGGAACAACAGTTTTCAATATTCAAGTATCATATAAACAATCTTTTCAAAATTGAATCCATTTTCCCCCTTCAGGCTACTGATATTTTGAACGAAGTACATTCAAGTGTGCATGTTAGTCATTGATTTTTGTGAGACAACTGTGATACATAGATGATAGTTGCACAAATTCATTTTTGCAATGCACCAATCATATATACGTGAGGTGTAGTTTATGAAAATATACGTAATGAACCAAAGGCGTATTCAGTATTTGTTAGGAATTCAAATACAACGTTTCAAAAAGGATAAATCAAACTTTTTGATAGATAATTGTATGTGAATGATATCTGATGACACTCGAGTTCATGTTTTCGATTTTTGAGTCACATGCATTTGTATTGTTTTTGCTGATACACGTCAAGGCATATATTTTGTTACTTGCCATCTATTGCACGTAGAAACGATAGAACAAATATATATTTTGTAATAAAAGACCATGACATTGATTGTTTTGATACCGTAACAAATATTTTTTTTGGGAGAGGTATTTGCCCCTATCCCGTAATCTTCCCTAGCTACATACTAAGAATGTACAAGTTGTAAATACTTCTTTTCAAAATGAGTGAACTTGATTTCCTTGAAAAATTATATTTGAATCAAAAGCAGGTCATTAAAATACCTATTTTTTTTATACGTGATTACATCATTCACTTTGTTATTGATATATCATGCTGCATGCATTACGGGCTGAAGATTATTCTTAGGAACGTCCATATGTTTCTTGGAAACATTTTTCTGAATTACCAATAATTGCATCACATTATTTTGTGTTAATTTTTGTAACGATCAGTGGAAATTTCGCCAGAAGTCTTGAATTGAAATACCCCAGAATATCTTGTTGTGCCTTTAACAGAAATGTCACTACCTATACTATGTCAATCCCATGAGATGTCTGCAGCAAATACATACCAATGTTTATCTTACTGATCAAGTTAGCATTTACCGCATTGTTGTCTTTTTCATATCAGTCAGTACAACTTTTTAATTTTTCGTGAATATAACAGACAAATTTCAACAGAACAGAATCAAAATTCAACAGTACTCTGCTCACTTGATTAGGTTATCGCATTAATATATATCCTCAATTCCTAACTTGAAAAAATTAACTCAACAATACATGTAACCTCACACCTGGATGGCAAGAAGATTTATGGACTTCTGGCACAATCTTCCAGGATTAGCTCACTCCAAGGCGTTTAAGCTTGATACCAAACAGTGCCTGTGCGAAAGTAGCGATTCATATTGGATTTGAATCGCTGGAGATTTAATACATTTAGAAAAACGTTCTTAGGAAGTTTATTCCACATAAACGCAGTTCTCCAGATTAAAGAGTTCTTAAACAGTGAAGTTCGAGGTAAACTGAGTTGAACCTCAAAATGATGAGCAGCCACAGTCCATCGCGTATGTACCGCTCTTAGTGGAATCAAATGTGCCAAGTCACTTGAACACTTCCCGTGAAAGTATCTTTAGAAGAGAGACAAATCTCCAACTCTTCGTCAATGTTCCAAGCTATCAAGGTTGCACGCGATGTTCGCTTCTCCAATCAGGCAGACGGCTCTCTTCTGGATAGAATCCAGCAGCTTCAGGGTATGTTTGGGGGCGGAGCTTGATACATGAGAACAATACTCCAAAGAAGGTCTAATCTGAGCTTTATAGAGCATTAAAAATTGCTGAGATGTGTACAGTTTTCAGATTCGGAACAGTGTTCCAAGCTTTTGAGAAGCAGCCTTTGCAATTCCAACGACATGATTGTGCCAAGACATATTGGTATCCATTTTTACCCCCGACAAACTTATCGAAGCAGAAAGCGAAATTGTCTGACCTGACATTATTAAGTATATCCGGTTCGGATATATTTATCTTCTTGGAGAAAACCGATGCCTGGGTTTTTGTCGTATATCCTCTTCGTGGAGTCAACCACTAAAGACATTTAATCAACCAGAAGCCAACCAGGATTCCTGACCGTGATGGAGAATGTGCTATTCTTCTAAATCTGTACTTAAACCAATCTAGAAATTTACACAATCACCGTAAGGTCTCCATTGGGACGTTTTGGCCACAAACTCATTTCAGTGTTGAGTGAATTACCGATAAAAGTTGGGGAACAATCTAAGCCGCCCAAAGTTTGGCAGTTAAGATCAGCTGAATGAGATGATATTCAAAATCATAACCAAAACTCAAATTTCCCCTGGCTAGATTTTCAGCTCTGAAGATCCATCAACTTGTTCTTCTGAAGTCACGAAAGTTATGCTATCAGCCATGGATGTATATATTCATTTTTTCAATGAAACGACCTTCTAACGGCAAACATTGTTTCAACAAAAATTGCGAGCAAGCTGTCGCCTCCAAAAATCTTATCTACCGGCAGTGGCGCAAAAATCCCAGTGCCAAAAATCGAACTAGGTTTGTGAATGCTCGCAACTGCTGTGAATTCAGGATAAATGAAAGCAAAGAACTTCACAATCGGAGAATTAGGGATAAACTGCTTGCCAATCCCAACGGGTCTAGATCATTCTGCTCGGTAGCCAAAACTGTTAATAATAACTTTTTCATAAAATCTACAATTCCACCACTAACACACGTGAATGGTTCAATTGCAACAACAGCCATAGAGAAAGTAAATCTACTAGCTGAAATATTTGCGTCCCACTCCACAGTCGATTTTCTGGGAAAGGCACCTCCCACTATTTCCACACTACAATCCACAATGCCGAAAATTAATTTTCAAGAGCGTAAAGTCATGTCAATTTTGAAACAGTTCAATATTAACAAGGCCCTGATGAAGTGCCCGTCATCGTACTCAAAAAGTGCGCAAATGAACTCGCACCAGTGTTTTGCAGACTTTTCAACCTGTTTTATGAGACAGGGGTTTTTCCTTTTTGTTGGAAGATTACTCACCTTCAGCATATTCCCAAAAAGGGCAAGAAAAATCTTCAGTCGCTTTGCTATCAGTGATATAAAAAATCATTGAGACCACCACCATATCCTCAAATATTTGGAGGGCTTCAACTTCTTGAGCGATCATCAATATGGCTTTCGGAAACAAAGATCAACAGGCGACCTTCTATCGTATGTCACCCATACTTGGAATAACGCAATCGAAAAACATTGAGAATCAAAAGCTGCTTGATATTTTTAAGGCCTTTGACCGTGTGTGGCATGAGAGTTTGCTGGCCAAACTTTGATGCTATGGCTTGGAATAACACAATATAGCTACATGGAGAGTCAAGAGCTGTTGCGCTTGATATTTCTAAGGCCTTTGACCGTGTGTGGCATGAGGGTTTGCTTGCCAAACTTCGATGCTATGGCTTGTCGGATCATTTTTTTGTATGGCTGTTTAGCTTCCTGAAAGAACATTCCCTGCAAATGGCCGTCGATGGATATCTCTCGAATACTTTCACCATCAATGCTGGTGTTCCCCAGGAATCCATATTGTCTCCAATCCTCTTTTTATTCAATTATTGGGGTGAAAGTAACCAGGTTCAATGTGATGCCACAAAAACCCAGGCATCGGTTTTCTCCAAGAAGATAAATGTCTCCGAACCGGATATGATAATGTCATAATAATTCAGCTTTCTGCTTCGAAAAATTTGTTGGGGGTTGAAATGGACACCTACATGTCTTAGCACTGTACACAGCTCAGCAACTTTTGATGCTTCATAAAGCTCAGATCATACCTTCTTTGGAGTATTGTTCTCATGTATGGAGTTCAACCTTCAAACATACCCTGAAGGTGCTGGATTCCATCCAGAAAAGAGCCATACGCCTGGTTGGAGAGGCGAACATCACGTGCAACCTTGATAGCCCAGAACATCAAAGAAAGGTTGGAGATTTGTCTCTCTCTTATAGATACTTTAACGGAAGGTGTTCACGTGACTTGGCACATTTGATTCAACAAGAGCGGTACGTATCAGAAATACGCGACGGACTGTGACTGCTCATCGTTTTGAGGTTCAACCCAGTACACCTTGAACTTCACTGTTTAAGAACTCTTTCATCTGGAAAACTGTGATTATGTAGAATAAACTTCCCGAGAATGTATTTCCAAATGGATTTAATCTCCAGCGATTCAAATCCGATGTGAATCGTTACTTTCGCACAGGCAACGCTCTGAGAGCGTCTTGAGGATATTACTGTAGTACTTGTGTGTTGTCCTTAAAAAAAACAAATGAATGGATACTCATTTATGTTTTCGAATTTTGAATCTAAAATCGCAAACGCTGCGTAAATATTACTCTGGCATACAGTTACTTCCAAAATGTACCGCTGATTTTCAAATTACAGATATAAATCACTGCTAATTCAGTATAAGATGAGCTGAAAAATCGAACTGAATAATTTTGTGTTTTTTTTTCTTCAGGAATTCAGATGAGAGAAATGCCGAATAGCCTTGAAATGATTAACAATCAAATAAATTGACGTTTTTAGAAATTTGAACGCCAATAAAAATTCAGAGAATTTGAGTAAACCCTTGAAATGTATATAAGTAAATGATAATACACTCTCAGTGAAATGGTTCACTTTTTGTCATACATACAAATACAATCATTCGTTGGTTTGTTCATAATACATATCCACATTTTTTTTTAGGTAATCTTTCGTGGTGGAAAACTCTCAATCAAGATAAACTCATCATCATCATCGCATCTATCGTGGCAATCGTGGTTGTTGTTATCATAATCTGCCTAATAATTATAATCCTATGTCGAAGAAAACGAGCAGATACAAAATGTGAGTTGGTTTCCATGTTTGATGTAGTTGCAAACCTAACATTCAGATGTCCATATCGATACAAAATCTTCTCCTACGATATTTTGTAATGTTTTGTATATTTATTAACTTTTTTCGTTTTTTTTTTCTGCTAACACCAGTCAATAACCCTCTGGAAATGGAAGAACGAGAAAAGTAAGTGTTTTGTTTGATTTTTTTAAGGTAAACATTGTACAATAGTGTAAATAAATTGATACTTGTATATGATTGGTGGTGGTTCATTTCATCAGGGATGGTTTATTAGTTGACACTGGGAATTGATCAGTTTCTTCAATTTCTTTCATGTACATATATTTTTCTTTCATTTAAAAGAAGTTCAGTCTTACCACTTCCACTTGAGAGGTAAGAAAATGTTGCCAGATGTAGCTTAGTTCGGCAATGTTTTGTTGTTTTTGAACTATGAGTATTCTGCACATTTGCATTTTCTTTTTTCTCTCACTGATATATTTATTGAGCTAGAATATTCAAAAAATTGCACGTGTTATATAATTGCGAATAATGAAAAAACTGCATATAATTATTATTGGAAAAACTATTCTAGTTTTTAATAATAATTGGTGGGAAAATATTTAGTATCGCACAATATCGCTAGATAAAAACGCATTTTGCTAGTAATGATGGAAATAAAATACCAACAGAAACAATCATTCTATCAATGAAATTTATTCGTATGAGAATGTCATCAAAGAATTTTTTTTCATCAGTAAATGCTTAATGCTTATTTCTAGAATACGTGCTTCCCGAACATGAATCAATGAAACACCAATAATATCTTTCATTGGTTAACTAGCGATATCAACACTAATTAACGACAATTTCCTACCTTGAATATTTCCGAAACAAATAGAAAAAAATCATTTCGAATCCACGCGATATTCGTGGCTTCATTCCCTCCCCACATGCACCCAATGCTCTCTCAACTTTTTGGAATAGTAAGAAACTATGTGTTTACATTATTTGAAGCGTCTTTATGGGAAGAATATCGTCTTAGAATTCAAGATCATTTCAATAACCCCAACAAAATGGTGGCATAAATTTCATTGGAACTGAATCTCAAACTATGTCCTTGAAGTTTCCAGGGTATACAGTTTTGTGCAGACGTGATATTCGTAACTGCAGCTCCGTAAGCTCCTCCCTCAACTTTATTTTCGCTTATTCTGATGACCTTGAGGTACGAGCATCAAGGATTTCTGATATTTTCACATGTTTAGAAAATATTCGGAGTTCATTTTAAATATAATTTGAACACCGCCATTTTGTTTCGTGTATTTAGAATGATCTGAAGTTTTGAGATGATGTTTTACTTGATGAGACCTTTCAAATTACGTATCATACACGGAATCATGCTATTTGAAATAGTTCACAGAGGAGCTTAATGTGAGCGTATTTCGAAGATTTCTATCCTTCTATCCACAGTGTGTAAAAGCCAAATGGAATCAATTCATTATTTCGGTTATGGTACATACTTCAACAAAATCCCGAAACACGTCAAATTTAAATTATAATTTGACATACTTCAACTGAAAAATACTACACCTACCTTCAAACCCAGTCGAATGACAGGTACAACCCCCAATTTTTCAAATGAGAAGTATAGGCTTGTGATAAATCGTTTGGAAGGTCTTTTTATTTTCTATTCAGAAATGTTATCGCTTTCAAGTTTATTTCAACAATTAAGATAAAATAAATTAAAATCATGTGGTTACCAAAATTCGATAAGATACACTCAAAACCTATTACAGTATACTCAAAACTTATTTCATGTTGAGGTAGTGATAATAAGAAAGTAAGCAAAAACTATAGCAAAATTTTTTTAGATGGTATCTTTTGAAAAATTTTTAATGATTTCCGTGGTAACGTTAGTTTGAAATGCCTTGTCAACCTGAAATACTGACAACATTAGTTGTTAGTATTTCAATTTAAGTTTAAAGTTTGTTAACTTCAAGTCTGACAAAAAGTTAGATTAACGGAAATGTATAAAATAAAAGTTTTACAAATGATTGGTTAAGGAGATAAAACTCGAACACAACAGGAAATAGCTCGCCTATTTCATGAGAAATTAACTAATTTACCGCCCATATCTCAAGGAATAATAAGCAAAATAGAGAAGCAGTTTCTCCAGCTTGGTCATGTGGGGCAGATAAAAAAAGCAGCTGCCAATGCAATGGGTGATGAACTCAAATTAGATGTGATGCTTGAGTTTGAGGAAAACCCACATACATCGAGTCGACAGGCATCGACTACATTCAATGTATTCATCCCCACAAAATGATACCTATTCAGGAGCTCATGACAGACGATTTTGATAGAACTTATTTTTGTGAGCAAATGATGGACATGTTTGATAACAATATCATCCAATTAGAAGACGTTATGTTTCCTGATGAGTGTACGTTGTCTCTTAACGGTCATGCTAATCGGCAAAATTGTCACTACTGGTCAGTGGAAAATCCTCACTGGATGAGAGAAGAACACACGCAATACCCTCAGAAGGATTGAATTGTAGGAAACCATATCGTTAGTCCCTTTTCATTGAGGGCAACTTGAATGGCGATAATTATTTGGCACTACTTCAAAATGGTGTCATTCCAAGTTTAGCAAATTTGTATCCTGATTCAGGAAACCCTCAAGTTCCAGTGAATACGATATGGTTTTAGCAGTATGGAGCACCACCACATAACCAAGTTAATGTACGACAATACACCTCGATACAACATTTCCCAATCGGTGGATAGGGAGGTGAACATTTTGAACATCTACTTCGTTAACATCCATAGTTCTTTTTCGTATCCTAGATTTCATTACGTTTTGCATTACATTTTAGTTTTTGAGTGTATTTTACCGAATTTCGGTTCCCACATGATTTTAATTAATTTTATCTCAATTGTTGCAATACACTTGAAAGTGATAACATTTTGAAAAGAGAATGAAGAGATCTTTCAAACAATATATCACAAACCTATACTTCCTGTTTAAAAAATTGGGGGTTGTACCTGTAACTCAAAGGGGGTTGAAGGTAGTTGTAGCATTTTTTGTATTGAAAAATGTCAAATTATAATTTAAATTTGACTTGTTTCGGGATTTTTTTCCAATAGGTACACTAGGTACAGTAACTCAAATAATGAATATATTCAATTTGGTTTTTACACACTGTATATCTAATCAGAAATATTCAGAGTGAAAAGTTTTTTTGTGGTAACCCTGTATAATAAACCAAAAAACTGGAAAATAATGTTGATAGATGCCAGTCATAATGAGCCAGTCATACTGAGTAGTTGTTGTGATAAGACCACATACATAATTTAGGATATTCACTCAAAGCGTAACGGGATATTTTACTGTCAAATATGAAAACATTAGAATATACTATACATGTCATACTTCTATTAGAAGTTTGAGGTGATGGAATGTATGCATGAAAGTTCTAGGTATCATTTCATAGGGACTTATAGAATTATTCACCAACATACAGAATACCGAGTAGAATTTTGATAATAATAATAATAATAAACGACTTTATTGCTTACATACATAGAATAAGAAAAATACACATATGGTATGAATTTGGCCTAAAGCAAAAGGCGAAGTTCAGTTCATAATATGATATAAAATCAGCTCATAAACTGTTCTTCCACTTAACCTCAAGTACATCGCTAGGTGTGTTGAACTTAACAATATAACAGAATTGAAAAAGAAAAAAAGAAAGTTAAATAATTAAAGCTATTTCTAATATAATTTCCATCGTACGATTTCAGGACTGCATTGAAAACAAGTGTTTTAAATTAATTGGCGCTCCGGGGCGACTTCATTGATTCCAGTGGCGCATTTGCTTTTTCAGCTGCAGGAAAACCCGGAAAAACCTGCAGCACCACATCATCATAATTTGGTGATTATCTAATTACCGAAACTATCGTGAATACCAAAATACTTTTGAATCCACGATATTATATGGACATTACCAATAAAAAATTACTACAGAAGATATTAAAAAGTTTAAGGCGCCCAAGTCGGACTCAATCTATTATAAAAATTCCATATCCATTGGCAAATGAAAGTTACTACGGCAATGTTTGAACAGATTTTCAGTTCTCTGCAAATGAAGAAAATGCAGCAAAAATTTCATTTTGACATTTTTTCGTAAATATCTCTAACAAAAAAAAACCTGGAATTAATTTTTCAGTATTTGTTTTCAAAAATCTATTGGAATATCCTTTCCTGTCAACCAGATGTCGCCCCCTACGAACGAAACCCCTCAGAAGTCGAAACTTATGCGAGATAACTATTAACGAGGCCTTACCTTTCATTCAGTAGTTCCAGAAAAGAGACAACTTTATAATTCAGACGACTCTGTATTCCCCACCATTCACGAGATTTCCATGCATAGAATTTTTTGTATAGTATACATAGATAGGCTGAAAAGTTCGTAGACTAACACACAGATGGCACTACTAGTATTGAATCAATATGATTTTTCGTTAACCCCAACCTTCAAGACAAACGTGTACAAACTTCACAGCTGTCGGACTATTAGTTTATGAGATAGAATATTTTGAGTGATGCAACTTTTGTTAGCTTGAAGAAAATGGATTGAAAGGAATTTCGTGTGTTGATAAAGCATTCAGTGTCACTATTTTTATTCGGGATTCAAGCTCGAACAGAAGTTTTATTCAGGTTTAAAACCCGAATAAAAGTAGTGACACTGAAAACCGTTTGCACCAGGAAAATCAGCCGTTAAGAAGTGGTTTGCTAAGTTTGAACAAGTTGAAATAACCACTGAGAACGACACACGAGGTGGAGGCCCCAAAGAGGCTGTTACCAACGAAAACATCAAAAAAGTCCACAAAATAAATTTGGATGACCGCAAAGTGATGTTGATCGAGATAGCTGAAGCTCGAAAGATATCAAAGGAACGTATTAGATATATCCTGCATGAATATTTGGGTATGTGAGAGCTCTCTTCAAAGTGAGTGTTCCGCGAGCTCTCAATCGACCGAAAACAACGACGAATTGATGATTCTGAACAGTGTTTGAAGTTGTTCTATCGTGAAAAAAAAACACGAATCTATGCATCGATATGTGACAAAGGATGAAACATGGCTGCATCATTTCACACCAGTATCAAAACGATCGTCATCTCAGTAAACTACACATCGTGAACCAACTCCAAAGCGTGCAAAAACGTACTCGTAACACTCGGCTTGCAAAGTTATCGTATCAGTATTTTGGGATGCGCATGGTATAATATTCATCGACTATCTTCAGAAGGGTAATACCATTAACAGTGAATATTACATAGCGTTTTTGGAGCGGTTGAACGACGAAATCGCGATCTCATATGAAGAAAAAGTCAGTGCGGTTTCATCAAGACAATGTACCGTGTCACAAATCAATGAAAACTATGGCAAACTTGCATGAATTGGGCTTCAAATTGCTTCCACATCCACCGTATTCTCCAGACCTGGCCCCAGTCTGTTCTCAGACCTCAAAAGAATGCTCGCTAGAAAAAAACTAGCGCCGATGGAAAGATAATCGTCGAAACTGAGCCTTATTTTGAGACTATATAATGTATTGAATTATGTATCAATTAAATAAATATGGAATTGGTAGTAGCCTAATGACGAAAACAATCATACATCTTCGAATATCTTTCTGTGGAAGATTTTAGCGATATTTCTTTTCAATAGATTTGGAGAAAAGTCCAATAAATGCTTTGAGTGAATATCCTAGCATGCTTTTCATTGTCAAGCAAAATACGTTTAAAATATTCCACCACTAAAATGTTTATTATATTCATTGAAGTAATATCCAAATTCACATCACTCTCTTGGCGAAATTTCGAAACAAATGAACTGTCATAGCTAGGTGACTAGCAGATGTAGGGTGTTAATTTCTTGTAAGTTACGATTTGTTCCATAATCTAATTAACATATTACTACCCTTCTCAGGTTTCTATGCTCACAAAGTCCTGATGTACTTGGCTTGCCTTTAGTGCCCTGCGGTAGGGTCACTTATCTAGGACACCAAGGTACTATCAACTTTACCAACTTCACTTCAACACACTTTAATTTGATTCAGTGCATGTTTCGTGGTTGGCTTTGTTTGAGGTTATTGTTGTAGAACTAAAGGGATCTCTAGATATTTGTGACGGTTTAGACTCTAGGAATTACGGAGTAGTTATAAGCTTTTGAGTATTTCTAATATGAGTCATTTTTGGGAATGAAAACTGTTTTATGGATAGACTTTGTAAATATTTGAATATTCAGGAATTTGAAATGATGAGTAATTTGAAGAATGTGCGAAATGAAATAGGCTGACATTCGATAAAAATTCATGAAATCCAAAAACCACTGACTTTAAGAATACTTTACAAAACCCCAACACGTATTTAAATGAATAATAGTTTCTTTGGGTTTGTTTTTCGACGTATCGAGCAGTAGGATCTGTTGTAGGATTGAAAACTATGAACCATTTTGTAAAAATTTTACAGTAGAATTATTGAATGAGTTTATGATATGTACATGAGTGCAGAGTGACCAGAGCAAGTAGTTATTTATGAAGCATTAAAATCTGTGGCACAAATAAATGGTTTCCTTCAACTCAGAAAACTTTGTAAGCAATTTGACGTTGTGACACAGTGTTTTGAACCTTTGGTTTAGTAATGACTTCAACATGTGTTTCGATCACCAAGTGATCATCTTCAAGAGGAAGATTAAACTAAATATACATACAATGTTGTCCTTATTTGAACCGTATATGTACCTCAGCTGGGTACATGCGTCTTAATTTTCTTAGATTAATTTACTCATTTCTACACTCTGATAGGCATCTGGATACCTGTTGTTGTTAACTTGTTTAACTGATGTTAATGAACTGAAGTTTATGGAATGGTTTTGTTGCAAAATATGATGGGCGACTACTGATTTTTCTGGTCTTCCATATTTTAAGTGTACTAAGTGTTCCATATTTCAATAGATCTTTAAGACTGCCCAAAATATTTTTCATCGTAGTCCTTACATTTAATTTCGTAGTGTCCTTTGTCTTGTCTTGTTCTTTGAATTTCCTTGAAAGCTCTGTAGTGTATGACTTGTTTTGATTACCACCTTCATACCTAGTTCCTTGAAAATCTTTCCAAATTTGTTCGTGTATTGGTGGAATGGAACTGAGATATATTCATCTTCGTTTTCATCATTTCTAAAAGTCCAGATTTCGTTCATTCTTAGCCTAAACTTTTTCTTCCTTATAATATAATCTACAATACCCCTCGAGAAACCGTTACTGACTACTATTTCCTGTATTGTCCGTTTTTCTTCTTTCGTGAACCTCTCATGTGTGAGAGGAAATGTTAAAAGACGATGCACTACAAAATTCAGCCCAGCTAGAGCTAGAATACGATGTCTCTAGGAAGGAAACATGCACTTAGACGTATATTCCTGACAGTGCATATCACTGCGGATAGCAAAAATGTCTGGTCTGAATATGGAAGAATATGGATGCCTATGAGAATGTAGAAATGAGTAAACATAATAATATTATCAATAACGATGGAGGACCAATACCTAATAGAATACTATATATCTTTTGACGCATTGTTAGGAACCTTTGGTGTCGTAATAAATATTACTGGAGTTTTTTCTCAACAAGAAACCGTTAAAATACCTAGAGCTGTTAAAATAACGGTTTCTTGTTGAGAAAAAACTCCAGTAATATTCTACTATATACCTTGTTGGAATAATATTTTATTTATCAGATTTACCTGACTATTAGATAGCAACATTGTAAAATTGATTTAAGACTAGTATATAAGACGCAGGTACCTAGCAGAGGTGTTAAAAATAACATTGGGTGTTGGGATAAAACTCCAGTAACATTCAGCAATTTGTAGATTTACTCAATTCAAACGGTATGATTCAGGTTCGATCAAAAGGTTTTGTTTTTTCTACACTTTTTTTAGGCTTCTGACATGATTTTCAACCAGATTTTGTTCATGAAATACCAGCGTTTTCCTTTCAGTCATTTCAAGTATCTCAATTGTTTTTCAGTAGAACATTTCGTAATACAAGTTGATTATTACTTTTGCATCGATTTATTTTCTTGAAATATCAATTCATTATGTTCATTCTGAATTTTTTGTCATAATTTTCTTTATTTTCATATTTTCAACATACTCATAAACCCTGAAAGTTGTTCAATAAAACTGTTTCAACTCATTTCGATCAACATACGTAATCATTACAATTGATCAGCATACAGGGCATTCTTGAGAAGTTACATTTGCTATTTGGAAACTAGAAAAAATATCAAATCTGCTGTTTGATTTTTATCCAACGAAAAATGCACGTTTCTATAGCATTAAAATTAAACATACGAGTGTCAGAACCACAGAGCGATCAAATCAAAGTTGAGTAACACATATTTCATTGATTTAATTTCAATTTTGAAGTATGAAAAAATAAATTATGAATGAGTTTAAATGAATTTTTCTCATAAACTTCGATTGAAGTGTTTGAACGGTAATTTCTAGATAAAAACATATTCATGAAAAATTGTGGAAGGTTTCTTCAAGAAAATATGTTTGTTAATATTTTTGAGTGAACCCAAATAGAAGAATAGACCGAAACAAATATGCAGATGACTCAACCAAAGGGTTTTGAATAAAATTGAAACCAAAAACCAGAAAAGCTGAACAAAATCTGTCTAATTTCTGGTAGTTAACCAGAAGCAGAAATTTTTCAGAGTACTAGTCTGAATATTTTTGCAAATATTTTCTTTCCTTTTCCACATCTGGTATATATGAAGGGTTAATTGATTTACATAATGCCACTTTCTGGAACAAATTTTGAAAGAGAGAGGTTCTATTTTTTGGTATTGAGATCAAGAATGTTCAGGGTAGAAATATTTTTGGCTCTCAACTCCTTCATCATTATGTAGAAAGCGGAGAACTCCCGAAGACAAAAAAATAATCAGTACGTGAATCTTCTAGGAGTTTCAGATGAAAGCACTAGTCTTTACATAGACATCAGCATCTATTCAGATAACTTCGAAAGACGATTCACTCAACCCTAACAAAAGTATTACGATATTATGTCACTGGAAGGCGTATATGATCTGTCACAATGATAGATTCAGGAATTTCTTTCCTAGAAATGGAAATTTTCAGAGGAGATTTTTACTTTTACATCATTATGAATGAAGGGAATTATCTCTGACTTGTGTCTGTCTACCGGAGAAAAATCGGCCCAGGGTCGGATTTGGGAGAGGGCAGGCGTGGCTACTGCCCCGGGGCCTTCACAGAATACAAACATAATAATATCGTTATCCCTGTATCAGAAAGCCCTGATTGCAAGTTTCCATTNCCAGCAACTTTCGGGGTATGTTTGGGGACAGAGCTCCATACATGAGAACAATACTCCAAGGAAGGTCTGATCTGAGCTTTATGAAGCATCAATAGTTGCTGAGGTGTGTACTGTTTTCTGGCTCAGAACAGTGTTCCAAGCTTTTGAGAAGCAGCCTTTGCAATTCCAGCGACATGATTTTGCCAAGACATATTGGTGTCCATTTCAAATCTCAACAAACTTATCGAAGCAGATAGCAAAATTGTCTGACCTGACATTATTATATCCGATTCGGAGACATTTATCTTTTTGGAGAAGACCGATGCTTGGGTTTTTGTGGCATTGAATTGAACCTGGTTACTTTTACCCCAATTCGATTAGGTTAACTGCCTAAAGCGTTGACTCGCCACTTGCGCCAGTGAAACGTCAGGAAAAAAATCCAAAAATCGACGGTCTCCAAACTCGGAAAATAGTGGCACAGAAAACATCAACCGCGACATCCTTAAGGTTTTTGTCATTCAAGGTTGTATAAAAATCAATGATTTGATTATCTTGCATGTAATTGAGATTATTTCTTTCATTTTTTTTGTTTAATTTTTTTTGGCTAACACAATTTTGTTTTGTTTCATGTTTTTCTTTTTCACCTTGGCTTGTCGGCTTGCTACACAATGTTGATATCCATATAAAATTCCCCCTGCATTGGTATAATTGCTTTCGATAAAAACAGTCCAGATGGTCACCCATCGAACATTTCTGACCAGTACCACTGGCCTCTACAACCTGGTGTCCTTGTTCAGATCAACAAAATGAATAATGTTAATATCAGTCGGATGACTTCTGGAGTCACTCCATTTAAAACTACTTCAGTAATGAGAATAAGAACATTTTCGAAATATAAAAAGAAAAAATCGAAAGTATATGCCAGGCTGGAGAAATTGAAAGATTTCTTGAGCTTGAATGCTGGGCGAGAACGAATTCCTTCTGGAATAACACCCAGCGAAAAAGGAGGTAAGATTAATGTTTTACCATTTTTTGATTGTGGTGTTCTAAGTTGTCTGTTTTTTGCATGGAAGTTGTGACGTTTAAGAAAGTTCAATCCAGCTCACCGATACAAAGACCTACAGTCATTGCCAGTCGTAAGAGGAAAAAACCAGGGGCAGGTGAGCATGTTTCATTCATTAATATACTACTTTCATTCATTTTCATCTCATTTTTCATCTTCAAATATATCGTATTTGTATTTTCTAGAAGGTATTTTTTGTGAAAGATCTATTGAAGTTTAATGAGGGGGCAAACTGGTGAGTTCCGCCGAAAAGGTACTGCGTCATATAAACCATTTGAAAGTATAATTAGTCAGTAATTTGTTGTATTCATGAATTCTACCTAGACATTGAATTATCAACTGAAAAAAATGAAATTTCCATACCTGCTCTCCTTAAGTGAGCGACATTTCGGAAAACAATCTTTTTCCGTTTTCAAAACTCGAAAATTAATTAAAAAAATTTCGCTTCAAATGTAAATTTTTGGGTTTTGGAAACAAATATTTTTTTCTGGAACGTAGAATGCTATAGAAAGCTGAGTAAAGCTTCTCAATATGTGTGATAAACGGCTTGTTTATTTTGTGGTAATTCATGATCACTTTAATGAAATGAATAAAACCCTTTCGTCTAATTATCACTGGTTAATTTNTATATAACTTTTCAGTTGAATATTTCCTCATTATGTTTTCTATTCATTCGAAATCTCTTGTGCATAATTCTTTGTTGTAGATATTATAATAGCACCCATTATCTATTCCTTTTTCATTTCATTTTTATGTTTTGAGGAATTATATATTTTCAATTATGATTATGGACAAGGTAAGGCTCAAATGAACTCTATAGTTTATTTTCAAATTTTGAATGTGTTACTGTTTTTTTTTCAGGTATTTCAATATACACTCGCACATATCCAATATTTTTTATTTTCAGCACCCAACCTATCTTCTATAGAAGATAAACCGAGGCTGGGGGTTGCCCTACCGCTTGGAGGTACAGCAGACCCCTCAAATGACCCTGATAAAGGATTTTACGAAAATCTTCCTTTCCATGGCATGCAGAATCCACCAAATAAGGTAAAGTACACATTTAGTTGATAATACCCTACTTGTAATTTCCGAATTCAGATTGTTTCATATTCAGCAAACAGTTTTGTTTGAATTCAGTCGATGTTTACTGGATCACATACGTGAAAGAAATGATGAATGATTTTTCATAGGACGCCTAATCTCACAATTTTTCGAGTTCAAATTAACTTCGACTAATTTCACTCAATCGTTTAGGATTTATTTTCTGTTTTCACCTAAGTTTGCATGTTTTTTTGCAGCCCATATCAATAATAGCGCCATTTACTCAGGGAAATTCTGCTCAAGGTTTCACCTCCTCAACCAAGTCCTTGATTTCCTCCAATGAAGCTCTTAATTCAAATAAAAGCTTCCTTCCAATTTGTAAAAATTCCAAAGACATCAAAAGGCACCAATCATTCCATGGTTTTCAGTCCACCAAATCTGATCCAATAACTTTCATGAATTCCCAACAAATTTTTTATCTAGCCGGAAACATCGGAAACTCTCAGTCGCGATCCATCTCATCTCAACAATTGAGAACAATGAACTGTTTTCCAACACCATCAGTTTTCGATAGGCTCCCTTCAAACTTTAATCGAATATCGGGTTTCAACACCATATCAGGAATATCACTGCAAAATGATAAATTTCCGAAAAATGGTTTACCACTAACAATGAATCCGTTGTCAATGACCTCTAACAGGGTAACTGGAAGAAACGAATTGAAATATGAAATTCGAAGAACTGCATCTGGAATGAATTCTTCAAAAGAAGAGACATCTGAAATGATAGAACCTAAGAAGAGAGACAAAAAACCGACAAATCGAAAGTTACATACAATAGTCGAAAAAAGATTTGGATCTTTGGATATCAGAAAACACAAATGTTACTCTCCTACTTTTTACTCTATGCGCTGTAAGAAACATGCCAAAAAACGTCCCATTATTGTTACTCTGCCAAGAAAATGTTTCAGTGACATATCTCTTTGTGATCAGAATACAGAAAATAAAAAAAAGGTTCCTACTGATGATTCAACCAACAGTATCGAAATAACCGAGGACATTGAAGGAAGTCCAAGTACAGATTCAATCCCCATTCCTGCCCCGCGATGTAGCAGAAAAAATAAGTCTGAAATTGTTTACGCCAATATTTCAAATTCTTTTGATGTTAAACACGAAACTGACATGAACAACGCATCCAATACATCTTCAGAAAATAGTGATAATGCAACAAATACTACTTTGACAACCGAAGTAGTTATTCATACAAATGATGAAAAAACTAAGAAGGCAGATTTGGAGGTCCAAACTCATCAAGATAAAAAGTCAGATGATGAGTTAATTCACAAACCAAAGCTTGTTGCGATGAGTCCGAAGTCTAATTCATCATTCATAACCATTTCTCCAATCGCTCTCAAAAACTCACCGATACTCAAAGTCAGCCCTAATTTCATCAAACCAAAAACGGAAAGTCCCAAAGGAGCTTTATCCCTCCAAATTAAATCTAAAATGAAGCTATCTCCTGTTCAAAGTCCGTCCGATAAGCCCAATAAAACTATCCTCATTTCTACCGGTGAGAGTGAGAAAGAAACTACTGAGCAATTTCCTAATGTACCGCAAATGCCTATATTGCAACCCTCGAATAAATGGAGCCCTAATATTGCTAATGCCAACGGTCAGGTGTGTTGCTTTTGTTTTGTTCAATTATTTCGGTAGAGGCGCCTTTCTGAGAATCGATTACTTATTACTGCAGTGTTTTCATGTTTTGGATATAATGGGGGATTATTTCTCACTTCATGAAAAACAGGGGGAAGAATTTCAATACAAGCTTTCATCTTGATCGTGTGATTACCAGCACACAATTTTCTTTTATGAATGAAGAAAATCACTTCATGATATCATTGAGGAATACTTAAATTGGAAAAGAAATATATTTAGAAAATGAACACTTCATTGTGAGAATTTCACTAAACGATTTCACAAAAACGCAACACGTGTTTCGCCATACAATGGCTTCTTCAGGCGTGTCTTTACTAACTAATTCTACATATTCAATGCTAAGTATACCTCATTCTATAATTTGAAGTACCTACATTTCAAGTACCTGATTTTTACCTTAGTTCGTAATGAATTAAATTACCTGAGCTTATATCCCAGTTTCCACATTTGAAAAAATATTTAGTTACGGAGGAGGTATTCAATTCTAATTGATCATTCAGTAAATTATCCGAATTCCGGAAACTATTTATTTCTAAACATTCTAGAAGATCGAGTTTCAAACTCGTCTCTTCTGAATATAACACATCGTATTCATGACTGAACTCATGTCCTTCTGCTAAAAGGTGGTTTGCGAATGTGGAATTGGTCTTTCTATTTACAAAACTACTTACATGCTTTTTAATTCTTTGTTCCCCCTGTTTGACCAATATACAGTTTTGGACAAGAGTCACAAGTCATTTTATATACTCCTGATCTATCCGACACCAAATTTTTGTCTTCATTGTTTTAAATAATTTACTTAGACTATTATTCGTTCTGTTAAGCTTCGTTTACGCATTGTTTCTTCAAAAAACGGGCAATATTATTGGTTAGTGACCCAAATATGGCAATGTCCTATAACTGACGTTATCGCATCTTGAATTTGAGTAGACCAGGTCCATGGCTTGTTTTGTAGTTTTTTGGAAAGAATGGAGTGTATAATATCTACCTTATAACCGTTGTTAACCGCGATTTGTTTGATCAAACTCAGCTCTTTCTGGAAATTACTCTCGGATGATGGAATATTCAATAGTATGTGAAGCATTCTATTGAAGTATGTGAAGCATTCTATTGAAGTATGTGAAGCATACTATTGAATGCAGCAACTTTATGCTGTTGAGGGTGTGTGGAGGAATTATGTATGATAATGTCCGTATACGATAGTAAAAATCAGGTACTTGAAATGTATGCACTTCCAATTATAGAATAAGGTATATTTAACATTGAATATGTAGAATGAGTTTAGTAAACACACGCTCGAAGATGCCATTGTGGCGAAACATGTATTGCTTTTTTGTAAAATCATTTAGTGAAAATCTCACAATGAAGTATTTTTTAAATTTTTAGAAGCAGTTTTTTTTTTGGAAAAAAGACTGAGAAATATCTTCTGTAAAAATTGTAAAAATCAAATCATAAAATAATCTGCACGAATTATTATCATCTATCTCATACTATTGACTGGTTATAATAACAATTACAAAATTGATCATGACAATAACACAAGTCTCGTGTACGAAGTAGTCCCAGATGTACCCGGCCCAACGAAGAAAACACAAGAATTTTGAAAAAAAAATTATCTATTTTCCCACATAATCTCCTTGCAGCTCTATACACTTTTCTCGGCGACGTTCAATGAATTCGATACCGTTTTGATAATAAAAACTGTCTTTCTCCTCAAAATAGCCATTAACTCCCGATATCACTTCTTCATCGTTGGGAAAATCTTCGACTACATTGTTTTCTCAGCCAAATGCTGCCGTTTTTGCTTGATTCCTCCTCTCAAACGTTGCAATAAGTTGGCATAATACTCGTAGTGGATAGTTTTATTATTTCTTGTATAGTCAATGTAAATTATCTCACGTGCATCCCAAAAAATCGATGCCATGACCTAGTCTATAGATGAAACGGTCTTCTTTCTCTTTGGAGCCGGTTCTCTCTTTCAAGTCCACTATTTTTTCTTGTTATTTTGTCTCGGGTGTAAAATGATGGACCCAAGTTTCATCCATGGTAATGGAAGGATGCAAAAATGGTGCTTTCTTGCTGTAAAAATTCGCTAAATTCTCCATTGAAACATCTTCACGACACTGTTTTTGCTCGAGTGTGAGCAAACGCGGCACCCATCTTGCACAAAGCTTTCTCATGTTGAAATTTCCAGATAATATACAATGTACGGCACTTTCAGTCGACGATCATTCAATACCGCTTTGTAGATTTTCTTCATCGTTTATGAAGTCATCATCTCACTTGGTCGACCACTGTGATGCTCGTTTTGGCGGCTTGTATGGCCGCATTTAAACTCTGCTACCCAAAATTTCACTGTTGTAAACGAAGGAGCAGACTCACCCAGAGTAGAATCCAGTTTAGTTCTTATATTTGTTGGGCTGAGGCCTTTCAAATAAAAGGTTTATACCGCATAACGATGACCAATTTTCTTCATTTTCCAAAATTCACCGAAAACGTTCGCTATTGATGTTTGCCAAACGAATACTAGACAACGCAGCGTCTTTAAATTCGAAACATATGCTTTACAGATTGTATACTTTCTGAGGCAGTGACATTTTTCAAAAAACTACTGCCACCTCTAGGCCAGGTAGGGTAGTTCTGGGACCACCCTAGCATATCTGAAGGTGTTCACATTATTTTGAATACATTTTTTCAACAACTTTGAGACAAAACAAAACAAACAAAAAATTTGACACAAATAATTTTAATTGCATTAGGTTTTGGCTTTTTTTGTGGTAAACGTTTTTGCCCAGAAAGTAATATCTCTTAAAAGTATACCTCTTTCAATAAATTATGTATTTCTTCCCTATAAACTTGTATCATTATTTCTTTTCCATTGAAATCACCAGAAAGGCGCCTATTTCTAATGTATTTGCAAGCTAACTAACCACTAACTATTTTCAGAATGCATTTTACACGTTAACAACTCCTCATTATAAACAACACAACGTTGTGCCACCTCAATATTCAGCAACAATACCTCATCAAAAACATGTGAAGCTCTTGCCTAAAGCTTTGTTCCAAGAACAAGTCCAAAAAAGTAAGTCGTTCTCTTCGAAGTCCAAATCGAAGAAACATCATTTCCAAATTCCGCTTCAGAAGTGTCATAGCTTCAAATTCCAAACAGCCGAAAGTTACTTTCAGCCCATCAAAAATATCCACGAAGAAAATTTGATGAGGAATGGTTATCTGTCGGATTATCCAGAAAGTAGTCATCGACCGCGTCATACAAAGAAATCCAAGAAGAATACCAAAGGGCCTCTTGTACTCAGAGGGGGTAGTGACTATCAGGAGAACGTACATTTCCAGGAAAATATGCAAAACTCCGTTCAGCTGCAGTATCCCCAACCTATGCTTGGCAGAAGCATGCTTTCTCTTACTAATAAACCTAATGGTATTGTCTACGCAGATTTGGACATTCCGACTACTACTAGTAGAAAGGGCTCGCGTGAGTCAAGCCCTTTCACAAGTAAATCTCAAAATTCAAAACCAAAGACTGAGTATGCGACTCTTCAGTTTAATGACATCGGTCAGGAAATTGATGTTTAACATACGATTTTACGTTCAACTTAGAGTAAGGTGAGTTTCGAAAATATAAGTGAAAGGTTTATGATCTAAAAACAATCTTAAGTTAATTTTCCATGGTATTGGTCTCTATTCAATGTTTTGTGAAAAATGTCCTGAATAGTTTTTATCAGAATAGTTTTGAAACTAATTTACTAAAAGGCTGAGATTGGTAAATAATTTTTGATTTGGAATATTAGGAAATGAGAAAAAAAATTAAATACAAAATATTCCATTTAAAAAACCGCATAGATATAATTATTAAAAACAATGGAAAGGTAGCAAATATTTTGAATTTTTTTTAATAATCGAGGTGTGAATATGTCTAACAGAATATCAAATGTCAGAAAGGAAAATAATGTTCACATTGACGCTGCTGAAGTAGATCATATGATTTTTCGTTAACTTTAACAAATTGTCAGTGAAAAGAATAAAAAGTACTCATGAGTTCAATAAATCTCTATTGATACATGCCATTAACTTGTTTCTTTCTAGTGGAAAAAGTGGTGAAAATAAGTTACTAGAACTCTTTCATAGACACGGTGGTGGATTTTTTAGAGCAGATCGTCAATGCTTTGACCTAACCAAAGCATTTTCCACAGTATGTCATGAAATTCTGATCAACAAGTTGGATCATTATGGTCTTTCACTCGATCTTATGGACTATAAAAAACCTTCTCTTGTTATGTTGAATTTAAAACTAGATACCAATCTATCGCGGCAAATCACCTTACCGAAAATAATATTTCGAATTGGAAGCTGCTGGATACCATCACGAAAAGAGGCATATGCCTGATTGGGGATGCGAATATCACTTGCAACCTTGATAGTTTGGAACATCGGTGAAATGTTTGGGATTTATCTCTTTTATAGATACTTTCACGGTAGGTGTTCAAGTGACTTGTCACATTTGATTTCACCAACAGCGGTACATATCAGAAATACGCGAAGGACTGTGTCTGCCCATCGTTTTGAGGTTCAACTCAGTTTACATCGAACCTCACTGTTCAAGAACTCTTTCATTTGGAGAAGTCCCCTGTGTGGACTGAACTTGAGAACGTTTTTCCAAATGGATTCAATCTCCAGCGATTCAAATCCAATCTGAATCGCTACTTCCGTACAGGCACCGATCTTAGGGCACCTTAAGGATTTTCTTGTAGTGCTGGTGTCTTGTTTGTAAAAAAGAAGAAGACGAACGCTTCAATTAGAAAACGGCGACCTTTTGTGTGCTTGTGCATTTCCATGAAAAAACTAACTTCATTCAAAACCTTTCGACATAAATGGTTTGAAAGTTCCAGTCAGAGCCGTCAGTAGGACTGAGTGCAAATGCAAATTCAGCATGACATATTCATTTGATTATTTTGAGTTTTGTGTTGGAAAATTCCTGAAAAATTCTGCTTGACTTGATATATCAAGAAATGCTTCATTTCCAAAGTACTTCTATGAATATGTAGATACATGATAATTTGTTCACTTCCATTCAGAATACGTTCAATTGGATTAATATTTTGACCAAAGTTCCATAGATATCAACCAGGATGATTTATTATGTCACTGAACGGTGGAACTGAAACCTCTTGAATAGATAAAATCCATAGAAACTACTTTTTTCCTATACCAGATTTACCAGAATTGTAACAGTCGTCGAAATTACTTTTCAACATCTACCTGAACGATATTTCCACACTGAATGTGGAAGATACATCATCTTCCAATCAGTTTCGCTGACGCCACTGCAATTATTCATCAATCGGAATCATGGAATTCTCTGAAACAAAAAGCAGAAAAAAAATTTCAAAACGATAATTAAATAGTTCAAAAGTAAATTATTCCGTGTTAGGAATCACACGTTAAAAGGTAAGACCTCGTTTGTCCTTAGCTCGCACAAGTTTCTCAACTTCTGAGAGTTGTCGTTCGTATGGGGGCGGCAGCTGATTAACGGAAAAACAGACAGACAGATCAGTAGATACATTGAAATGGGATGCACATATTGATTACTTAGTCAAAAAACTACGATTCGTTACATATAGATTGAAGTACGTGAGACCATACCTACAAATAGTCCAGATGCGAATGCTATACAATACATTGTCAGAAACTCACCTCACATACGGAATAATTGCTTGGGGAACAGGAAACACAACTTTTCTGAAACACCTAGAACAAGCACAAAAATCAATATTGAAAATAATCCACCTCAAAAAATGAACTCACTCACTTTCGCAAAACTATAATAAGACAACATATTAATAAACATGAATTAAGGAAAATAGAACACCAATATGAAACTCGACACAAAAATAATTCATATGTTCGGAATTCAAAAAGAAACATTTTTCAAAGATCTTACTCATACCTATATCTTCTCGATTATATAATCTCGTCCCACATTTCACAAAAAAACGAGTGACATCACGAGTAACAATTCATTTGAAAATAAACTGAAAACTTGGGTCTTGAGATTGCCAAAGCTTCAGATACACCATAACGTTGGTATGAAAAGTGCTTACCATCACAGTGACATGCACAAAAACTGATTTACAGCTTCATGCAAAAAGTTTGAAGATATAATTGAATTAATAAGTCTTAATACTTCTTCTAAAACGTCTTACTTTTTTTAGTTATACTATTTTCTAATAAAATTTAATTGAAATTGTATTCATTGGTACATCAATTTGTGCAAAACCAACGCACAGGTATATCCTTCTGTACAATTTATGACATTGAAATATGTGTATTTTGCGAATAAATATTATTATTATTATTACTACCATTCGATTTGTTTGAATTCTACCTCTCAGTAACATAATAAATTATTGAGATTGTTATTAAACATTGATTTTTATAAGCAATATCATATTTTATGAACTCACAATATGTTTGACCTTTTCCTTGATTCATTTCATGATTAGATCAATATTACTTCATTACTGATATCTTTCAAATGTTCAAAACACCATTTTTTCAAATTTAAAAGAAAGTCAAGTATTTGTTTTGAAATTGTGACTAAATACACAATTAAAACTATCTAATATTTCTAAATTTTGTTTTAGACTAATGGGACTACCACTACTGCTAGTGATACCTATATTTTCTAAGGTAATAATACTATTTTTTACAATAAAACACTACCCAAAATTTAATTGTATATTTAGAACAATTTCTGCATACTTATTTTCACCTAATGATTTTTATTCAAATCAGTTAAACCTGTTCGTTTTCTGATATAATTTATCTTCTGAATTGTTTTTTTTGGTTTTTTCTCGTGTTGGAAATCACAACTTTTTATTTTTCAGCCTTATAGGCCAGATCCCTGTGATCTAGACTACGCAGATGTAGATTACAAATCTTACGGACCCATCAACTACAAAGCTGCGTCTGTTTATGCTGCAGTGAAGCGGGCAAGAAATAATAATAAACTTGATGAAGTGGATAAGGAAGATCTTCTGTGAATTTTAATGATATTGAAGCTTTTTTTTGCCCTAACGAATACATTCTTCATTTATGTGTTTAGATTTTTATGAATATAGTGGCGATAATGCATGTCATGGGTGGTTTTTAAAAATTCATATATATCATCGTCAAGTCCCATATAATCCCACTGGTATTTCGATTCGGTACGGAATAAATTTCCTCCAGATGTAACTTTCGATTATTTTTGTTACTATTCTACCAGAACTAATTTATGAAAATTAATACTACCTAATTTGAAATATAGCACTTCTAATTATTTATGGGAAAATAAATACTCATTTATTAGTTACTAGAAATCATTCAGTGAAAGTCAAATGTCATCTTGCCTTTTTATTGGGATCCTTCTTATACTGTCAAGAGATTTCTAATGTAAATATATATGGATATATATGCTGAATTGTTGAATTTTTTAAACATATCGAGTTTTTGCATGGATTTATTGTCGTAAGTTGCAAAAACAATTTTTATATTACCATCGCCCAGCTTTATCTGACTTCATCCAAATGTAAAGTTAGTTGTTTTTTTTTAAATTTAGGTTGTTTCTTAGGTGTAGGTATCTGAATTTCTAATATTCTTAGAGATGAATATACAATTTGTGAATTAACAAATGTGTTCACCAAAATGAATTGATTTTGTTTTAATAACCATGAACACGATTATCATTTGTGAAATATGTATTCTTGTATCTTCATTTCTGCTTCCCAATTTTTGCACAATTATTTGAATGTCTTTTAATTTTTTAACTCTTGAGTCACCAAATATTAGTTTGAGTAGGTATTTATACTTTTCCTATATGATTTAAGTTAACATTTAGTTTTAAATTTCAGCTCTTCATCCAACAAGTTAGGCATGTGAGAAGTAGCTGTATCGTATAAATTATTGAAGAAACCTCAGAAATATATTTCTAATGTCATTTGTCAATAACCTTTTTGAAAGTACCATCCTGAATAATTTTTATGATCTGATACACTTCATAATTCAACTCGAATGTAGTGTTGTTCTGAATTAATTTGAACGCTGTCCAATTCTGCTTGTATCTCAACGTCAAGCAATAATTTGAATAATCTCTGGAAGTGATCAAAAACGCTCAAATGATTTTTATACATAAATAGATTTCCAGAGCTGATTCAAATCTAAATTTTTTTTCGGTGCCAAAGAAAACTTATAAAATGTGACGTCCATAAATAACTCTTTTGGTGTGGTGCTGCGCGAAATTGAGTTTTTAATTTCAATATGGAAAATTTATATTTAGTACAATATAAGTAGATTGTATAGCAACTATTATCTTTGAAATATCTCTGTATCATCTTGTAGATATGTATATTATAAATTTTAGTCCATATGCTGTTTAATAAATAAATTATACTCTGACTTCAGTTTCATTTTCATTCGAAAATAACAATTTTATTAAAACAAAAAACTGAAATTACAAGGAAATAACATACAAGCTACAACCAGAAAACAAAAAATTACAAGATTCCAAACCAAGTTACGTCACGACGTTTCGATTGTTAGTATCCACAATCGTCTTCGGGTGATAACTGATATCACCCGGTCTTTTTATTCATTCGTGAAAGCCATTTTTCGCCAAAAATTCAATGACTTGTTCAACAACAAAATGTCATTTTGTTTTGATTATACATCATTGAAAAGGTAAAATCTGGTTCTTTTCAAAACAGAAAGACTCCAATGTATCGCCTATAAAAAAAAATAAATTTGATGATGGTGGCCGGAAGGTGAAACGTCAGATAGCAAATCTGAAAACACCATTATGTAGCAGGGAAAAAGTGGCAATGTGGAAGTGCAATTCATTTTCGAATCCTTTGAAAAATAAAGCCAGAAAAAAATAAAAACCATTTTCCGAAATTTCTGTTTTTTCCGGATATCTCCGAATGTACTCGGAATTTCAGAACTTTCCCAACATATTGTTAGTCAGGTGAATGGGCAACTCTGCCCCAATTTATCCATCTTCGTATCTCTCATAGTTTTCGAGATTCCAATGGTGAGGATCGAATTTGAAACACCTTGAATACACTGAGCAAGGAGTGAAATTCAAGTGAAAATAGAGGTTTTCAAAAACGGTAAAAATTACAGAAAAGATCCTCATTCAGGAGCACATCAATTATGATGTCAAAAATGTTAGATAGTTCTCTTACTTCAAAAGATATTGTGTAGAAACAAACAACTTCAGTGTATTCATTTCCATTCACCAGGTTTACCTGAATGAATTTCCAAACTTGTTGTGCTACATGAATTTGACTACTAAAATGTTTCATAGGGTGGCCATGCTTCCGAAAGAGATAACTTACCTAGCTTGAGACTACATTTTGTGATAACATTTATTATGATCCCGAGTATATCGAACGAATATATTCCATTTTCACCCTAGTGCAAGGGGCCCGGTACAATTATACACATAGTACTTTCGTATATCTTCCATCATACATCTGGCAGAAAGGGTTTTATTTATCAAAAGACTCCTACGAACCATATTTATTCAAAAGGTGTTCTTTAACAAAACACAAAACATTTTTTTTCGGATCTTCTGAGTTGAGCATTACGAAATTAGCTGATGCTCATAGGCAAACATAAGAGGTAGATCCGTTTCGACCCACCGAAGGTCTCAGCGTTGCTGCTAGGCTGAACCACAAGTGCATTGCTATACTGATCTGTCCTTGAAGAACAAGCCTGAATAGTAACTGAGGGCGATGACATTTTATCTTGCGAAAACACCATCTATGAGATTGACACAGAAGTCACTCTTCGAATATCGAAAATAAACGAGGCTCCCCAAAGCAGTCAGTTATAGAGCCAAGCTTCAACATCGACCGCCGAAGATATTCGTCTTGTATTTCACTGCAGTTTTCAATGCAAGGCAACTAGCTGGTTAAACAAAGCACATACACAACGCATTTATAAGTTCACACCAGACAGCGCTGTTTCGACTCGCCGTAAGTTCACCATTGGTATTGGGCTGAACCACAAACGCAAATAAAAATGCGAAAATTTCGATAAGCATGGGCAAATCTCATTAACAGTGTTTTCGATATACTCCCCCTACCGCTGATCAGGTGGAATCGTTCTGGAAGGACATTTATGAGCATCGGTCATGACATTCCAGCAATAGCGCAGTTCTAAGTTTTCTGTGCAGGGTTCAAATCAACAGAACCAGGTGGGTCGAAAAAGTATAAACGACAAAATCCTTTTGACCAGATTTTTCAATTTCTAGCTGAATAGAGAGCACAGTAGATTCCGTATTGGTTTTTCGAAAGATTGACCATTTATATTCCGAAAAACCTGGGATTTGTCGTTCCAAAAAAATTACAGATCAAGAACCTTCTTGAGTTCGTATTATAAACTGCTTACCAACATCATTTTTCAAATGAATAATTTCTAAAGTTGACACAATATTCTTTCAGATTCATGAGCAAAAAGGGTGAAAGAAATGAATCGCTGGTTCCAAGGAGAACCAGCTCATTGATATATGTATAACGTAGGATATAAAAAACTGATTTTCCAAAAGCGATACAGCTATTTACCATTTTTGCTTACACGGGTAAATCAGTTTTCCGAAAATGATTGAGTTTCCCATTTTCTGTTCCATTTTTTGCGCTGCGTTTTGTTAGGAAAGGGCCCAGTCATAATGAGTATCTAAATAAATAGAATCTGAACAAGAACTTTCGACCAATTTCCTGTCAACTTGGGTATTTGTTTTCACCTACAACTGACGACATGAGGCTACAAACTCATTTTACACTTCAACATTAGAGGTATCATGACCCTCTAAAAATTCAACATATACTTACCGTATATACATCCTTCAATCCAACTTCAATTACTAGACATACATTATTATACTTCACATTTGTCATCATCTATTCGAAAAGCTGTCAGATAAATTTGACATTTCACTTGATCATGTGTCATTATTAAATGTTCGTTCGGTATCATTCGTTTTTTCACAAATTTGGTTAATATGGATGGAGAACAATTCATGAATAACGTAAGACATGTTCACAGTATCTATTTTACAAAGTCAACAATCTCTACAATTGCAGCTGAGAGCTCAGGTAAACCATCATAGCAGCTCCTTAGCAAATCCCAGTGAATCTTCCATGGAGGCCGTAGCGAGTTCTTCGGGCATCAAACCTAAGAGAACTTCAAATTTGCTTGCAGCATTTGTCAGACGAACACGAAACAAATCCAAAACTTCAGGAAAGAATTCAAAAACAATTGAGGCCTCTTCAGCAAATTTGAGTTCCATTCCAAGTAATTCTTCTGTTGGGCTGCGTACGGAAGAAGTGGAACTTATCGTGGAAAATTATGAAAGAAAACTCGAATCTCTCGAAACTGGACGTAAAATGGAGTCAGATGCAAAAGAAACTAAATTTGTTACAACAACTGATTCTGAGGTAAAATCAAAATGTCTAACGTATGGATAGTTTTTTCCGATACATTCAACTAGTGCCTCCCTCTAAAAACAGACTACTTTGTCAAAAAATTAACTCATTTTATAACAGAGGATCTAACTGGATGGCGATATTAATATTTATCATAACTTGATCACTCATTTGAAATATTATTCACCAGTCAGGTTTGCTCCTGAACAGAAGGGTTCTATAATATGCTCACCCAAAATTTCTGTAACTACAAACATTCAGCTTTTGGGGATATTCAAGTAATTGTCATTTAAACAACTCTGGTGTCGAATATAGTTTCACCGTAAATGTGTCCTCGCACCTCTCTCTCTTGCTTGCTCCTTTAGCAATATACGAAACTTAACTGTTGCTCTTTCTATCTTCACTAACGTATATCTCCCTCTCAACTTCCGTTCGCCTAGCCCGATCACAGAAGTTTTACTTCAGAAATATATGTAAAAAGAAGTTAATTGATTAAAACCCAACTTTCCATGTTCGTGAAATTAATAATTATCTTCAACAGATGAAAAATACTCTGTAAGAGTTTTTCAGCTGTTTTGTCAAAATCATTACCGTTTAATTCACGAATCATTTTCATTTTGAATCGGTAGAATTTAGGTTGAAGAATGATTCTCAAATGATTTACTTCCGATGCTCACTTTGTCGAAGTCTAGGTATTTTGCATCAAAGCAACGTGGCCTAGCACTACAACATTGATGATTTCGTTATTGCCTATTCCTAAACGATCATATTGCCTGTTATTAAGATTGCCAGTTTCCATGAGCTTATGTAACAATGCAAATACATATTTGTTTCACCTTTCTGCCTAGATGATTATTGTTGAAAACACAATATACCTTAAAATGCTTGTTTGGTGGTAGGTGATTTTTGTTAGGTAGAAGCGACGATTCTTTTTAAACGGTTGTATTTAGCTTGCCCTGTTTGTTTGGGTCAAATTTAGTGATTGACTCCCTTGACAGATTCATCTGAAATTTGGTTCACATTCATTTTTGATGACAATACAATTCAATGAATTCCCCATCACTCTAAAATCAAGAAGGACGCAGTTACAAAATGGCGGATTACATATATTTTTTCACTAGTAGAATAGTAGTACCTACACTTTGAAAAAGATGCATATTTAAGATGACCGTAACTACAAAATGGCGAATTACATATTACTTTGTAATACTGAGGAAGCTTGTAATGAAAACAAAAATATATATCCTCATCTGACAGATCACCATTGAAATAAATCTTATTTGAATATACAATGTCGTCTGCTAAGGGTCTATCGTAGGTATATGGAAAAATTTAATCCAAAACAAAATCCATTTCTCTTGTTCAAGAAGAATATATTGAACTGAATATTAGCTGATTAGTGCTTTATATAATATAACAATTTGAAGCGAATGACCTTCTATCAACTAAATGACTTATAAGTTTAACTGAATTTGGATATAAATTGAATGAATGAATGTTGTTTATTGATAGTAAATGAACATACTGAAGTAATACACGTTGAAAACAATAAACATTACAATGAACCAACAGAAGTTGTTGAGAGCTTCAACAACTTGTACGTGGTAACACAACACATATTTACATCTTTTACAATATATATAATGGACTATTTTTTTCAGCGTTTCAGAAGTTATTATTATAATTGATTAGATTAGATTGATTAGATAATAAACGAATTATCAATTTCCACATCAGGAAACGGATTCAATAGAGGGAGAGAATTCACTTTTATTTTTTCATTCAGTGAATTTTTGGAATTTTAAAATTCAATAATTTCCAAACACTCCAAAAGTTTCAGTTTCAAATCTTCCTCTTCCGAATGTTACACATCATAGTCGTAGTTGAACTCTGCCTCTATACCAAGAAAAGATTTGCACATGTGGCATTGGTCTTGACATTCAAGAAACTACTCCTAAGTTCTGAGTTCTACTAAAGTTTTTTCAATCTTTGGAAAAAGGTTTTTTCCGTTTGACCGATATAAAGTTTTGAACAAGAACCAATACTTATGAACTGAAGTTTTGTCTTTATTTTTCTATAATCAATTTGCTCAAATCATGATTCCTTCTGTAAGACACTTTCAAATGTTTCTTTTTCAGAAAAAACGGCTGATGTATTTGGCGGATTCACCAAAGTGTATCAATATCTCATTATGGTTTTTTGAAGTAGGATAGACCTGGTGAATGACTTGTTTTCTTTTTTTTTTAATGGAGTCGATAATATCTACCTTGTAATCGTTGTTGATAGCAATTTGTTTCATGAAACTCAGTTCTCTCTGAAAATTATTTTCTGTCAGATATCAAATATATCGTACGTCATGAATGAAATTTACTCATTTTCAGCATTCAATGCGTTCAGGAATGAAGATAAAACATCAGTTTTTTCGAAAATTGATCAAAAGGCAAACTTCAAATGAATGCGAAAAACCGAATGTGATTGCCATACAGTCGGAAGGCAAAAAGGACCAAACTATCGATAAAACTTGGGAGCCCATTCAACAAGAAGATCATAATTTAGCCAATAACATTCTGAAAAATGAACAACCAAGCATTATTGGCATACCTAGTTCATATATGTAAGTTCAATCGAATATCCGTCAAGAGTAGATTGCAATTGCAGAATTTCGCTATCACTTTGTAGAAGATAACAATTAAATAGTTAACAATTTAATAAATTCAACAAAGGTGATGATTTAGCTTTCCACTTCACCGTGGGGGTATTATTTATATAAGACAATTATGAGTGAATTATACCAAACTTTCGTAAATATTGTTTCCAGTTCTTTTTGATAATGAAGACAATAGCGATGTATCATTTGTCATCGAGAATACGCTATTAACTTTTTTGAATGGAAAGGGAGTATTGTGATACTACTCTTGATAGATACTCTGATTATCTAATCACCACTGTTTCATATTTGGAACGTGGAATAAGTTTTTCTGAGTAATCAGCAGTTCTAAATGTGTTTTAAGAATTTGCAAACAAACGATGAATACATTATTTGACTAATGAGTCGGAATACAAATTGATTCGTTACATTATGAAATTTTGAGGAAATTTCGTTGCAAGCATTTTTTATTCGAGTGTTCTGGAACGAACTGTGGTTGAGTATCATATATTTCAGATATCACACATATATCCTGAAAAAATCTAGAGGCGACATTTCAGGTGATCTAGTGGGCCCTTCCGGGGGATCGCCTCTGCCTTTTTACCACCAGTTTGGATAGTTGACAAAGCCAAATGAATTTTCAACAGAGGTTAGGTGAAATGAGGTTCCCCCCTCATTTCACCTTACGACAGTCTGGTTTGGAAGTACTAAATGACAAATATCCAAAATGGTGGATGGGCAAATATGGTCCTTCAAAATGATTCGCTAGATCGCCTAAAATGAAGCCTTTCGAATTTCATGGAACTCAACTTATTGCGATTGTGTAACATACGCAGGACAATTGAGAGCTTTTGTATACAATCAAAGGTGTTTCTAACAACGTTACCTCAGGAAGAAATTAATTTTTCAACAGAAAATAAATAGTATTATTTCAAATATTCATTATCAACTGAAGTGTGTTCTCAGTACAATATGTTCAATATTTTATATCGTCGATTGAAATGAAGTTTATACCGAAATTTTATATTTCATTCACAATGGTATCTTATTATACGAGTTTTTTAAATATTTTCTTCAGGTATTTCTGACCGTCATTATCGTGATATCTCCTTTCTTTTTGATTTGACTTATAGAAATTTATCTCTTTTATTTTTGCATACGGAAGCCTAAAAAACATGTTGGAAATTTTCACGTGTTTCTGGCAAATTTCACTAGGAATTTGAGTTTCGTGTCGATATAATATACCATCACAATTATCACGATAAAGAAGTAGAGAACTCCTCAACAAAGATGGTTAACCAGGATTCAGTCAATGGTAGAACCGACTATAGATTCTGAGTTTTTGCTGAAAAATATTAAAAAAACATAATATATTGCGATTTTATATTACAGACACTTTCCACTACCCATGCTGAATATAACTCTGGCAAATGGTCTTCAAACTGTTCAGGCACTTTCATCGCGTCTTCAGGAGCATAGAAAACATCTGTTCGATGTTTTTAAAAAGTATATAGTTGATTCGAGTTTCCAGAAAGAGTTAGGTGAGTGATATCATATTTTGAATAATAATAATATGTTTCCATAAATACGATTTTGTGATACAATAAATAAATGTATAGTAAATACAACAGTTAAGCTACTAAAGGATATATCCTTGTGCGTGGGGTTGTGAGGGAAATAACTGAGGATTTTCTATATATCATAGAGTAAATACACATATACTCAGACAAATCTTCTTGAATAAACCGAATGAATGGATTTGAGTGAGATCTGTTGGTATTTTTAGGTATATTACGGGTCCTAGGTACGTAAAGTTTCTCTGTAATGTTTTTCCAACTTTTGGTATAGGACTTGTTATCGCTTTATTTCCCGTATTGTTTATATAATCTTTTCACTCAAAATTAGTTTTATCTTCATAATAATTCAGTATTATACTTTGAAAGTATAGTTGCCGTGAATCTAGCGCTTTGTTCTCTTTATATAAAAGACCTGAAGGATCCACTTTTGGATGACTTCTAGGTTTTTGAGAAAGTTTCAAGAATTTGACAAAGGAATCAGTGATATTATTTTTTAACAATATATTCAATATGGTGATTCAATTTCAGTTTGCCAATGTATTTCATTTTGTCTTTGGATTTTCTTCCTATTTCCATATCAACGGTATTAATTTTCAAAGTTTCGTACATCGGCAGACTTTCAGAATACTATGCAAAATGTACAAAGAAAGTCTTAACATAATTTATCGTGGGAGTTTTTCTGCCAAGCCATTTTTCTAAATGATTTGTTATTCTTTCTTTGAGGATTTTCTCGAATATTTTAGCTAGATTACTCATGAGCGATATTGGCCTATAGTTAATTATCACTTCGATACTTCCGAATTTATGAATTGGTTTTATTATAGCGTTCTTACAAGCTGTTGAAAATTGTCCTGTTCGTATAGCCTTGTTGATCAAAAAGGAGAGCGGTTTCGAAACCAGATTTACAGTTATCTCTAAAATTTCTGATTGGAAGCCATCTGGTCCAGTGGATTCATTTGATTTGAGAAATTGGACAATTTTTTTCACTTCATTTTCAATGGTTTCAGATATGCCTATTGTTTTCAAATATGATATTGGAGTATTGTTTATATTTTTCAATAAGTTTTTTTCCATCTTACTATAATGACTCATAAATGCTTCAGCTCTTTCTGAGAGTTTATCAGAAAGTTCTCCCGAATATAATTTCACTTTCCTCATTTTTTCTTTACTATTACTTTTAAGACTTGTATATTTGAGACATTTCCATAGTTTGTTGGGACAATTTGAGATTTGAATTGTCTTCTGAAGGTTTAATTTTCCGGGCAATCTTGCAGTTTTTTGGTATTTACTGATTTTATCAGTCTTTCTGTGATCCATTGAACTCTTTTGACCTCTTTTCTATCGATTATTTTCTTCAATATATTTAATTCAATCGTTACTGATAAATAATTCTTTTGAATTTTTCTGCAGCAAAATCTAGATCATTTTTATCAAAGACATCGTCCTATGTTTCATTCTCCAATGATTCTACTAAGTTTTTCCATTAGAATACTTTTATAAATTACCGAGTTTGATTTTTTTAATTTTTTTTCTTCAAGTGACGAATTGATCTGTAGACTTGGCATTTTACTGATTCTTGTAAATCATTGACTGTAGATATGAAGTCATGTTCCCTTAGCAGAGTCAAATATTCATCTTTGTATTTATCATTTATATCTAAAATATCAATATTGATACCTCCATTAAAAATTTTGACATTGGGATTTTCACTAATGTTATTACTAAGATATTCGTTCATACCATTCAGGAAAGAAACTGGTGATTTGGATGGTGATCTATACAAAACGTCTATTGTAACGATGTATAAGTCGAATGATGTCTAAGTGTAAAGATGGCTAAGTTAATCATAATTTTGTTTGACAACTTGATGATATCGAGTTCAAAGCCAAGTGCCTTTTTATAATAGGGGAGCCCAAGGGGGGATTTCGGGATTTACGGCAGAGCGGCAGATTAATATACAGGGGGATACCTTGTACCCGGTTAAGTACCTCCATCACATATGAGCCCCATATATAAGGCCGCCTGTGAGGGATAAAGGATCAGATAAGTAAAAAAAATTGATCATCAGAAATTTTCGAGCGCGTCAGATTTAAGTAGGGTGAGTTAATTACCTGCTAAAAAGTGTATATTCCAATAATCTGACAAAAGAAAGGGGAGGGCAGCAAAGTTGTAAAAAAATAACGTCATTTCGACATTCTCGAGCGTAGCTGATTTTTCTTTCATTTTGAAGAAAATAATTAAAGGATAACGAAAAATATATAATCTGACGATTTCCGCAAGCCGAAATAACAAAAATTCGTCGATAAAGTTTAATGCGTGCAGCTGTGTGATTATGTCCATGTGACAGTATTTTTTTACATATTTAAAAATCTATAGCCGCTTTCCCCACCGATGAAAAGGTGTATATTATATAAATTTTTTTTCTTCTTATCATCTAAGCTTTGCAACCTAATATGTCCCAATGACGCTCGAGTTAATCCCCATTTTGTATCGTGGGCTCCCCTGCTATTATATAGACCACCACACCGCCATTTTGATTCACAATACAATTTTATATGTAGGTACTTCTAATAAGGTGAAACTAGATACGATCCGAGTCTCTGTGAGTACAATCACTTCAAAGCCATTATCGAATTGGTTAAGAACAATTTTCAATTCATCTATATTTTTGAATATCCTACTAATATTTGTGTGAAGATTTTTTTTCTTTACAGAAAGTACTTTTATGCATTCCTTTACAGAGAGTACTTTTATGCATTCCCTGATATTATTTGCGAAATTGGTGTGTATCATGACCGTTTCAAATTCTCTTGTATACGGATCCATTGTTTCCATTGCTGAAATTCACATAATGATAAAAATAAATAAATATCTGCTAATGTTTGTATAGATTTTTTTTTCATTTAGAGATAGTACTTTTATGCATTCCGTGATATTATTTGCGAAATGGGTATGTATCGTGACCGGTTCAAATTCTCTTATACACGTATCCATTTTTCCAAATGTTGGAATTCACATAATAATAAAAATAAATACAAAATACAGTGTTATTGATAATTCAGATTATAAATACCAATCAGGATGAAAGTTATTTCAAAGACCGTAAACGAGGTTTATCTCTATCTAAGATTAATATCAGGATTTGCTGCGCATGTTGGTGTTTTGGTATTTTTTGAAAGTGTTTCTGTATAGCTTTGCTCTTTTGAGACTTCGAAAGATGGCTTTTCTCTAGTTTTCCTCTGAAGTTCTTGAGGTTGTAAAGGTTTCTTTGGATATTAGGGGTGAGAGTTGCACTGTTCAAAATAAATTATTCAATTGGATTGACAGTTTTGATCCGTTTGAAAAGAGCATTTCAAATATATCTATTTTTCTTCATCATACTGATTAAACAACACATATACAACAAAGCGGAAGTCGGTAGATTGTACAGGGTTATGAAGTTTTTCAGTCTCTAAGTGTTGCGCCATTGAAAAACCATCATAAGAGGTTCACTCAGAACTCTCAGTGTTAATGATCCAAATAATTTGGACAATTCTTTGAGTTGGAGAAAATTCCAACCAAGATGTTGAATTCAGAAATATAAGTAATTCTCGAAATCGTTGTAATCTAACTTTGATGGAAAAGTCTGTACTATTTATCGACCTATAAATTATAAACATCTGAATCTGAATTGAGTGAAGCACGTTTTGAATCTTCAAAAGGAACAGATCAATACTACAAAGTAAATCCTCGATATCTTTGAAATATATGTTCAAAATCTGTTTTTCCTAGTTGTGCTTTCAAAGGATCAATGAGGTTTTACTTTCTAACGTGCGATTGCTAGAAAGTGTTGACCGATACGCAGTGAAAATCGATCGATTGAATGACCGAATGAAATAATAGCTGTTTTTTCTGCTCAATCTATCTAATCTCCCTTTTATTTTTTAGTGGACATACTGACAGAACACTCCAAATTTCAATGGGAAGCTGAAAGAAGAAGCAGTGCACTAGCAAGTGATATGTGGGTTTATCAAGTAGAGATCGGAAGAAAACAGGAACGTATTTTGCAAGAATCTCTGAATTCGCTCGTTCGCCAAAATAGGCAGTTGCAAATAGATTACGAAATTCTGTTCCGTAAACATGAGACACTTATCAGAAGATTGCAAAGCCAACACGGGCATGGCTTGAAACAAAAATGTGTCATGGGTAAATATTTTAAAGAGTTTTTACTGGTTTACTTTCATTTGATAGGTAAGAACTACTGGATAGCATACAGGGTGTCAACTTAAGTGGTGTGAGGGTTTTCTACAGCTTCACTTTTAGCTTTCATATATTTATCGTGAAACTTAAGATAACTGATGGCATTTCTAGATCATTGTTTCATGGATCACCATCGTGCAGATAATAATCTTTGGTTTTTTTAGAAAGCTGAAAATGAAGCAACAAAATTTCAGGATACCAGAGAATTGTGATTTTAACTGTTTGTTCTGATATCCAAATTGAAATTGAAAATGATGGTACACAAAGATTTTCATCCCTGCAGCGCCACTGAAATGATTATTTCGAATCTGATTACATCAAAAAGAGGTTTAGATTTGAAAATCACTGCTACCAGACGTACATAAAGTATAATCATAATCGGCGGAATATATTTTAAGCAAATATTGCAAAACAATTTTCATTACAACTATAACACCATGCTAGTAAAAACCGAAGCGATTTAGGACATATGTTCATGTGACCACTTTTTCAAAAGAAAATATGACGAAGAATCATCACTTCCGAAATGAAAGTCATCCCTCAAGTTATAATAATAATAATAACAACAATAATGATAATAATAATAATAATCGATTTTATTGCCAGAAATAGCAGCGCTCTTCCACTCAACCTGCAAATTACTTCCAACAGATGGTTATAATGATCACATCTTATCAGAATTCTACTTTAGGTAAAAACTATACGGAAATTAATCCCTGGATAATTAACTAATGAAAAAGAAAGAAAATGAAAATATGAAAAATAAATAAAGTTTTCTAACTATCCTATTGGAAATATTTTAATTTTTTGTGGCACTTGCAAATATATATCGACAAAGTAATGATAATATTGTTCAAAGTTACATGGATGATATCAGCACAGTAATAATTATTCAAGAAATTGGAGGTCTAAACCATCAAGTAGAATCTGTTTCAGTTGTTTCCGAAAAGAATAAATTGACATATGTTTTATTTCATTGGGGATAGCATTATAAAGGGTAGCTATATTATACAAAAATGATGATTTGAACAACGAGGTTTTATGTTTCGGAATTGTAATGTTATTTTTATTACGTACATTGATATTGTGCTGGTCAAGTCTGAATTTTACCTTATTATACAAATATGAAGGTTTCTTCAGTGCTAGGATTTTATGATAAAGGCTGCGGCAATGTAAAATCCTGCGTTTATCCATTGATAGCCATCCAAGTTTAGAAAGATGAGTTGATATATATTCCCGTCTTCGTAACCCACACATTAGACGCACACACGAGTTTTGAATTGATTGAATACGTCCACTGTCAGAACGTAGAATAGCAGGTCCGTAAATACAATCAGCGAAATTTAATTTTGAAATGACTAGGGACTCGCATAAGATGATTTAACTCTTTTTGGTTAGTATATTTCTATTGGTATAAATTAATTTCAAACTGCAAAAGGCATTTCTTATAAGTTTAGAAACGTGTTTATTAAATCTCATATCCGTGTCGAAAGTTACCCCAAGACTTTTCTCCGAATCGCTGAACAGTAGTGGGTTTCCATCAATTTGCAGCGAAATTTTACCTGAAATCCTAGTTCGCACCGTTTTTTCCCAAATAGCATTGCCTTAGATTTTAGAGGGTTAATGCCAAGACAATATTTTTTGGAAATTTCTTGTATTCTTTGGAGGTCCTCATTTATCTTTCCACATGCATATTGCGCATCGTTCTCAGAAAATTCCTTGTATAATTGAGTGTCGTCAGCGTAAAAATGACTTTTACAATATGCAAGATACGTATGAAATTGTGACGTATAGACCGTGAAAAGTAGAGGTCCCAGGATAGATCCTTGTGGGACCCCTGTATTTACAGGAGTTGGTAGTGATGTCTCATTATCTATCCTTACAACTTGAAACCGGTATGACAAGTAATTTGCTATAAGACTATAAGCGAGTCCAATATAATGAAGCAAAGATATTAATAATTGAGTTACACCCTATACATCAGCAATCAAGCTGTTACCCCCTCACGGACGACAATACTTAGAAGTCGAAACTTGTGCAAAATAAGGATTACCAAGGTCTCATCTTTCAATGTGCGATACCTGGGGCGAGTTGAACCATTCGCACTATGCAGTGAAAATCGATCGTCCATCTGTCGATCAGCGTTTACTTGCCGGTCGATTGAATGACTAGATTGAATCACTCTACTAACCAACCGGTTGCTGTACTGATCCAATAACTGACTGATACAATAATTTTAGGAATTCATTTAATAACACTCATTCAGTGACTCTCATTAACAAAGGTAGTAATACATCCATATGTTATACTATCCGGGCTGAAGAGTCTCGGGCCTAGCACATAGATGGCACTAGTTTCGATGCATTCACTGCTTTTTCATTCAGTACTAACTTCCAGAAGAACTTTCAAAGCAATGGATCAAAAACAATTTCGTGTTTTAATTTCACACTGCTTCTTAATGAGAGAAATACCATTTAAGCGGAGCAAGGACTTGAAAGGTGTTATGAGGACTCCGCTCCACTAGAAAAAACAATCAAACATTGGTTTGCTGACTTCAAACGTGGTCGTAGAGACACCGACGATTCAGAACGCAGTGGACTTCCAATTGAGGCAGTAACACCAGAAAATCCACAGAATCGTTTTGAATGATCGAAAAGTGAAGTTGCGTGAGTTAGCTGGCATTGTAAAGATATCAAAAGAACGTATTGGCTGCATATTGCATGAGCATTTGACTATGAGAAAGCTCTATTCAAAGTGGGTGCCGCGCGAGCTCACTGTCGACCAAAAACAAGAACGTCTTTATGATTCTGAGCAGTGTTTGGCCATGTTGAAACATAAAAAATTGAAATTTTTGCGTCAATATGTGACAATGGATGAAAAAGGGAATCAAAACGATCGTCATCTGAGTGGAAAGCAACCAGTGAACCTCGTCAAAGCGCCCGAAAGCACAACAATCCGCTGGAAAGGTTATGGCCTTGGAATTTTGGGATGTGCGTGTTGTAATATTCATCGACTATTTTGAGAAGGGACATACCATCAACAGTGAATATTATCTAGCGTTATTGAAGCGTTTAGAGGCCTAAATTGCAAATAAACGACCGCATATGGCGAAGAGAAAAATTTGTTTCATCAAGACAACGCACCGTGTCACAAGTCAATCAGAACAATGGCAATATTACATGAATTACTTCGAATTGCTCCCACATCCACCGTATCCACCAGATTTGGCTCCCAGCGACTGCACAAGAATGCTCATCGGTAAAAAATTCCGCTCGAATGAAGAAGTTATTGCTGAAACTGAGGCCTATTTTGAAACAAAAGATGAATAGTTTTACAAAAGTGGTATTGAGATATTAGAGCGGCGCTGAACGTATTGTGTGGCTCTTGATGGAGATTCCATTGATAAATAAAGCCAATACTGAACAAAAAAAGGCATTTTGTTTCTTATGCCAGGGGCTTTTTAGCCCATGTGTTAGAAGGTCCAACTTTGTTCCGAAATTTTGTTTCAGTCATCTCCTCACGATGCTAACTTATTTAGCGAAATGCGCGTCAAAAGACAATATTTGATTCAATGTGGAAAAAATGTTGATTATGGTGTGTTGATATTTCACTTGTTTTTAGTACTTCATATTATGAACCATTCATTTCAAAATTTTTATATTATTGCAAACTGAATGTAAACTATGTATGTATGAATATACAGCTATATCAGTTCGTGTAAAATATCGCAACTGAATTTTGAAACACTCATCCTCAACAGATTCAGCTGAAATTTTGCATATATGCTCAATTTGGATGATAAGATTAGCTGAAAGACGCCATTCTACATCCAGTCTGGCGGACTGCAAAACGGCGGACCACACATTTGACACAAGTATCGAATGAAGGGGATCGCTGAAAATGATACAAAAAATAAAATGACGTCACTCTAAATCCAGTATGGCGAATAAACAAGAATGGCCAAACTACTTTTTCATGCATCTTCATTAGGTATACGGGTATTAAATATATATATCCAATATAGCAGAATGCTCAAGATGGCGAACTAATTTGGTTATGCATTCCCATATTATGGGTATCAAATGAAAGGGTTTGCTAAAAAGAATAGGGAAATAGTTTTTTTCTAGATGGAGAAGTAGGAAGCCAAAACCTTTTTTCCCTGAAAAGACGCCATTTTCAATAAAATATGGCGGGCTCTTAAAGTTGGTGAACTTTGGTCTTTCATGCACTCCCATGATATTGTTATCAAATAAAAGGGTTTAAGCAAAAAAAAAATCAAAGTTTCAGAATAAAAAACTCTAACCCAGTGGGGTTCATTGTATGAAAATAATCTACTGAGGAATATGTCAAGCAATAACTAAAAAATAAAAAATGAATTATTAGTAGAAAACATTTTCAAAAACAAGATTTCACATGCTTTGAAATGAAGAAAATGAGTTTCAAATCAACCCAAACCCATTTATTCATTACATAACACAATTCATATGGTGAAAATTCTTGTCGCGAGATTTACCTGTGCAAACAAATTATAAGAATACAATACGTACCTTTATCTCGACATAAGTAATTCTCAGAAAAAAAAAACGTATAGGTACGTCTCGGGACGCTTGACAGAAGTGATAACTTAAACAAATCTAAGTTGAACCATTTGATATTGAAATTGTTCATCTTGGGAGAATCTTAGGTTATGTATATGATGATGTAAGAAAAGGTTATTCATCAATGAAATATTTTATTGACTATTTTGTGTATTTACATATATAATAGCAACCATAAGCCAATTGTTACTTTCGTAGGATTAAATAATGTGAGGTACTAATAATATACATACACAAAATTAGTATCATCACTTTTTAGCCACGTTTCACATAATAAAAGAACATAACGTGCATGCTGGCTAGATTTTTATAATAGTCTACAGTACAAGAGCGAGCCTTCCGCTGACG